TCTGAATACCAGAAAATTATCTTTACATTATAGACTATTAAGATAGCATATTTTTATGATAAAAAATATACAGTAATCAGGTAATTAAATTAATTATACGCTAGCAACTTTTAGCGATCAGCTTAGTCACCTTTCAAATGAAAACCTTGGTCAGCAGTTCAAGGAGATAGGACTTTATCTTTGGTTTTTGTAAACCTGTAATAATATTTACATTCAGTCAATAACAAAGAATTTATTTATTATTTCGGTTATAACTAGTCTGTGAAAAATTCCGGAACAAATTGATTACTGGTTAAAATTACTGGCACTCGGATTGCATCCACCGTAAAATTCCTTTTTACCGTAAAAGTTTATACCATAATTTTTATAGTTATATTTATTTAATTACAGTGATTCAGTGATTTTGCAGTAAATATTACAGTAAAGATTGCGGTTATCACAATTTTTGTCGCGTTTAATTTGTTTAAAATTTGAATTAATGGTATAAAGTACCGGCACTCTGAATGCTGGTACTTTTTACCAAAATTTGATCCGAAATTTTTTGCAATATTTGAATTTACTCAAGTAGAATGCCTATGAAAAATCCTGAAAAATTTAAAAAAAAAAAACAATCAAGTTGGGGCTTCACCAAAAGATAGACGATCATTGAGGGTTCCATACATGAAAAAATTGGAGCATGCATCAAAACAAATTTTTTTTTTTTGACATGCATCAAAACAATAAATTGCTTTTTCTAAAATTTTTCCACACAGCGAAACATACACTGTTACAATTTTCATTCTAAAATTACAGTAAAATAACCGCAGCAGTCTGCCGATCCGACTAAACGTAAAGTTTACGATAAAGAACATTTCTTACCTTTACGGATTTGAAACCGCTTACAACTAGTATAGTTAAAAAAAACCAGGAATACAAAACTATACGGTTTTTAAACTATTTACAACTAGCATGATTTTTTAAAAAAGAAATTTAACTGAACATTAGTGTTAGGCTTTTCGTTAGGTAATGGAGCTAGACAGTGGTAGAGTTGTCTTTTATTAAATGAACCGTGGAATGCGGTTTAATTAGTTTATCTGTTTGTTTCACCTTTCATAAGAGATGGGAAATACTAGACATTTTGTGTGAAGCAGTTTTATGAAGCTGCCATCTACGCCAGAATGAGCGTATCGTATTCTAATAGTCCAATGCCGCAAATTGGGTTGTACAGAATACTAGAAACTCTTCATGTGTTGAAGGGCTTGGACGAAATACTGTGGCGTTAAAACTGGAAGTTGAACCCCCGTTTCGTCGGCCATGAGAGTGACGGATCAGCACTTTCAGCAATAATATGTTTACTCACCTGCAAGGAACTATGTGGCTTCATACGGTGTACTTGATTGGTGCGATAAAATTCTGGTTGTTTAACCGTATTAGGTGAAAGCAATTGATAAACGGTTTTTCTCGCAGTTAACAGATTGAATACCATCTCATTAATGATTATTTGACTGTTTTGTTTGAACATGATAAAATACAAAATAAATAAATTGTTATTTGACCATTTCTTCCGAGATATTTCCAACAGTACATCTAAAAACCATTAAAATTTTTTTTTTTTTTTTGTGTTCATTGGCTCAGTTAACATCATGAAATAACAACATGCCTTATCATTTTGCTTACCAAAAAATATTTTCTTTAACACTAGATTTGCCCAAGGAAGTCATTTTGACTGCTTTTTAATTTCAATTAGAAATGATGACACAATTTCTTAGAATTTTGTGACTTTTTGTATAACATATAATTTTTTTAGTGTTAATATTTGCTAATACGTAACTTGTTATATAACTGAAAATAATGTCAAAAATTTTAAAAATTAATTTTAAACAAATTTCTTTATACATTTGTTCTTCTTTCACAATGCAGTCATTTTGACCGCGTTTGGGCAAAATAGGTATTTCAGTCTTTCTAGTGTTAAGTATTTATAAATATGTTTCTTAATTATTCATATTTACTCTTGTCAATAGACAGAATTATAGCTTCATTCCAAATTTTTTTAACCGTAAATTAAATTTAAACTCAATCGTTGTTTGAGTTTGAATTCAGATGCATTTCATGCTCTCATCTTTTGAGAACTTTCCATATAACAGAAATTTTTCTTCAATAAATAGCAAAAAAATGGAGTTAAAAGCAATAAGCTTTTTTTTTAGGAAAAATACAGTAGTTTTAAACATTAAAATGGACTGCACGCATTTATTATAAATCATTGAAATTTACCACATCCACTTATGTTCATGGTTCTTTGGAAGTCATATGAGGAAATTAAACGATTGTCGTGCCTAAAAAGTTTTCCAGGAATATAATAGAATTGAGTTAAATTTAGGTTTTTTGAGCGTTTCAAGCCTCAAACACATATCTATTAAAAAATAGCGCATTATGAATACGGAATTTTAGAAAAATCTTTGCTCATGCATCTGGGTAACCTTTAAAATGCTTTTAAAGCTCTAAACCGAGATTTATTATGAATGAAATATGTATCAGTAAGTTTCTTTTATGCGGAGAATAACTTTTTTTAAGTGTCAAGAAAAAGCTGCAAAATACCTTATTTATATTAATGGTGTTAGTGATAGATATTTGCAACAGATGGATACATATCAAGGGATGGAAAAATACAAAAAAAATATTTGTTACTTATTTAACTATTTGGAAGAAGTTTTTTATCAATATAACTTACATTTTTCTTCACGATTTTAAGAGTTTAAGAGTTTTATTTACTGTTGAAAATTAAATCCCCGTAAAAACAAACAGTTTCAGTTTACTACTAAGGTGAGGGAAAAGAAAATTGATTTTAGGATCTTAGGCTCAAAATGTTTTTATTGTTTCTTTATGATATTTAGTTTTAAAATCCTCTTTTTCCCAAAAGAACTTTTTTTTGATTTCAAACAAGAAAACATCTTTTCTTGTAGATCTACTTTTGGAGATTTAATCGTACTAATTGATTTTTACAGATCCCAGAACAAGATCCAATATTTACAGACAAGAATTTTGTCTTGGGTAAACATACCTTTTTTTCCCCCGATGAAATATAGGAGGCAGCAGCAGCAATCTGGAAAATATAGTCCTCATAATTTGGTCAGGAGAGCGATTTAAGGTTTTTATTCTATAATGTTAATTTGACTTTTTGTGTGTTTCACAATATCTCAAAAATTCTTTAAGCGAATTGAGAATTTTTTACACACAACTATAAAATTCGTTTGTCCAAAGATAATTCCATGCAAAAAATAAATTTGAGCAAGTATTTCTTATTTTAATTAATATGTTGAGTTTTATGGTATACAATTTTTACATTATTTTAAAGTATGTAATTTTACACGGCCAAATACAAAACTTGAGCGAATGGTTCCTGAGAAGTCGAATTTTAAAAAAGTCGTATACTTAAAATTCGATTTCTTACAAGCAACGAAATCGATTAAGCTCAAATTTCATATTTTGAAATGTAAACTTGCATAATTTAAAATGATGTTAAACATTATATACCTTACAACTCAAAATTATTTAGGACTATTATCCAGTAAAATAATAGATAATAAATACTTACTAAAATAAATTTTTTGTGTGTAATTATCTTTGGATGTACGAATTTTGTTATTGCGTGCGTGAATTTTTCAATTCGCTTAAAACTTTTTCGAGATATGGCGAAGTACTCAGTTAATAAAATTAACATTATGGAGTCCAAACTTTTGATCGCTCTCCTTTCCAAACTATTGGGCAAATATTTCCATGAATGCTGCTACCCCCTATATTTTGGGGGTCAGAGATCCTAATCCATTGAATTACAAGGTATTTTAATACAGAGAAAGTACGTTTTTGTTTCTGATTTCGTAACTTCAAATACCGTCTGTAATAATTAATTAGCATATTTGTGGTCAGCCGCCGAACCATTAAGCTTGAGTCATAGAATGTAAAAATCCTAACATAAAATCGTTCTTAAAAAAAAAATTTTTTTTAGGCTTATTGTACATTAAAATATTATATAAACGAAAGAGAACTTACTTTAAGACTTCGGGATAGTTAAAAGTGGGATTCTATACAAAAATGCAACGTCTTTTTATTTTTAAATAATATTTAATTTGGCCATAACTTCCCATTTTGTTAATCGCAAAAGGTTTCCCAGATCGTGCTATTTAACTCGGAAGATTTTTCTTCTTGGGACATTTTCAGAAGACTTTTTTCAAAAAGCCAACGACCATCTGCGGAAGTAATTGTGTGCGTAGCGACATATATGCAAAATGGTCTTAGAAAATTTGGACAAAAAATTGTCATGTGAGTCAGCGAGACCATTTCGTTAAGTCCATTTTCCTGAAATGCTAATTCATGCACGGAGGAATGGTAAAATTATCGTACTGTACGGTAGTAATATTTCCGGAAAAAAATCCCATAATTTTAATAATTAAAATCAAGATATACGGTACTTAAGTTACTCCTTCGGTAATTTTTACACTCTTATTGTAACAGTAAGCTTGGAAATTTGGGTTTCCAAGCTTATAGTTCGTATTACCATACTTTTAGTATAAAAGTACAAAATTGAAAAGTAAATGCAACCGGATAAATGATTTTTATGCCTTGCTCTTAAGAATCATGATATAATTATCAAATTTTACCGCATTTACCAAATTTTATCACATATTGTAAAACCACATTTTATTGTTAATTTTACGAAAGTTATCACCAAGGTACTTCGGTAAAAAAGCTTTTTGGTGATTATTAAATTGTACCATATTTTGGTAGTTTTACCTATTATTTGTTCCTCAATTAACATCACACTCTACATTACACATTATGAATTAATGAAAAATCACAAATATTAAATAAAAAAGTGCTTTTGATCAAAATAACTTCTTACGTGGACTTGAGAACATTCTGTTTGGAAAACAGATTTTTATTACTATTATTTAGTTCCTTAAGCAAATCATATATTATTTAATATAGTTCTTAAATAACGTATTTTATTTTTAATGCTATTCCAGGGTATTGTCTCACAATCCTTTAAGAGATATAGATGCCGAGGCTTTTCAAGGATTGTATAACCTTGAGGAACTGTAAGTACGGTTAACATTTAAATTTAAATAATATTTGTTTCCAGTTCTTTTCCTTCAATTGAAGTGAAATAATGCTTTTCCCAATTGTAAAATAAACAACTGATTTAATTTACGATAAATTAATGTCTCACATGCACTACCAAAGAATTACGGGAGGAGATAAAATTTATTCCTTTTCAAGTGTTAAGTTTGAAATGAATTATGTTTAAATGTTTTTGTTTATTGAGAGGGCATCGAGAGTATAGCGTATAATGTAATCTCGTTACCAAAATAATTTAGTTTTTTGATGTCTCGGGAGAACACAAATCTTGAATTTTATGTAATTTAAATGCATTTCTGTCAGAGAGAATAATTTACTTGTCTGGAAAATACAATTATAGTTGACTTTTATTTCCTCTTAATACAATACATGTTATTTTGTGGAAAAAAAAGATTTATAGAAACAGATTTATCTTCTTTAAAGGCATAAAAATAGAAGAAAAAAAATTAAACGAGAAATAAGTTTCTTTTAAAAGTAAGTGTATTGTAAAATATATTTAAATTTGAATAATTTTATCAAAGTAATAAAAAATGTCAGAATCTAGTAGAAATTATTTAACAGAAGTCTCATGTAAAATTACCGAGAATTGAAAACGAAAAGCTTCTGTAAAATAACAGCAAAATATTCACAGAAATTTCGTCAATTACTTTTCGGATATTAGAACTGAAGCCTCTGAGACTTTGGTTAAATACATTAGAGTTGAACATAAATCACTAAGAGATGATAGGAGAAAATGCAAATCTGCGGACCTCTTGCATTTAGTTAAAGAAATCGAATCTCGGTCAAAACTGTGATATGCAAAGACGCTAGTCCCCACACCAAATGTCCGGCTACTTACCAATGAAATAAACAACAATGTTTGAAATGCCTTTCTCTCTTGAAAATAACTCTTGGAAGATATCTCTTTAAAATAAATTTTTCAATAATGATTTTAATAAACACATTTCTTTTTAAGAAAATCTCCCGATAGCACTTCGAAAGATATGAGCTTTGAAAAACCATTATTTTCCACAACTCGGTATTTTTACATAAATTTTTTATAGAGCAGTATACACCTAAGTTACCATATATGAAATATCGAATAATTTTTCCACATTTCCTTTAGCTTTTAAATAGACGGAAAATATTAGTGTCACACCAGTTCTTAAATAGTAAACTTTGTTAAAAGCTCAATTTCTTATAAGAACTAAATTTTAGTGAGAACTAAATTTTAGCAAGAACATTTAGAGAGCATTTACATTTAGTAACGTTAGAGTAATGGCACATTGCATTAGAGTTTTACGTTAGAGTAATGACATTTTAGAGAACGTGAAAACTGAGAATGGGAAGTTAAAAAATAAAGAGACAAAAATTTTAAAATTTAAAAAAAAAATTTTGAGAAAAAATGAAGGGGGAAGAGACTAGCACGAAATGTAAAACATAAATTTTTGCCCGGAACAGAATTTTTTTAGCAGATTTTAATTCTTCATGTATGGAAATGTTATTTATGTTAAAGCTAACTGAATGCTTCAAAATCATTTCCGAGAAACGTTTTATTTTGCAAAACAAAAAGGAAAATGTTGCAAAAGCTGTTATGCTACGCTAGTGCAATGCAGAAATATTTGTAACTTCTTTCAAATGATGTTTTCGAATTCTCTGTCTGAAATTTTTCTTTCCGCAGTCTTGTTATCCTATTTCATTTCTATATTGATGTTTTTATTTTTGTCACTTTATCAGTCTGTAACTGTAAAAGCGTTTGCTAAACGAGTGGTTCCCAATTGGTGTTCCATGAAATCCTAGGGTTCCGTGGAAGGGCCAAAGGGGTTTCAGGAGTCAGGTATTTTTTAGCCAGTTTGGATTTTTAAACCTATTTAAATTCATATTCATTTAATAATCTATTATTTATTCAATATTTCCATTATTTTTATGACGTTATTTAATTGATGGGCTTTTGAAGAAAGAAATTTCATGAAGAATGTTCTTCTAATAATAATATTATGAATGAATTATGAAAAGGATATGAATTTGTGAGAAAATCCATTATTATTTTGCATCGAATAAGAATAACTAAACTCAAAATTGAAGAAGTATGTTTGTCTGATAATCATTCTTAACGTTTATTTTCTTCATTTTCCGTTTTTATTTTAATTCATTTTCAGCTTAGGCATGTATTAAAATTAAATTAAGAACTACACTAGATCTTGCTCTAGACCAGTGAATTAAACTGTCTGGCGTAAAACCGGATTTTAAGACTAATTTTGGTAAAACGATGCGCTTAAAAAATGTATTCCTCATTCATTAACTAAATACATTTTCAAATGATTAATATAATTTAGATCATTGCATAAAAAATCTTTCGTTGATTTAAATGTTCACAATTGCTAAAGAAATATATTCATTAAGTCTCTGGATGCAGCCAGAAAAGGTCGATCATTTAAGGTTCCACAGCCAAAAATAATTGGGAATCGCTGTGCTAGATACCACTTATAAATAAGGTGACTCTCGCTTATACTTGTGACTTTTGTTATCAGGGATCTACGAGATTGTGCACTCGAGAGTTTACCATCAGGAGTTTTTGATGATCTATCAAGGCTTATATCTCTGTGAGTATTTGCTTAAAATTACATTTATTTTTTTTCATTTCATAAGTTATTATCATTTAAATGACATATTTAAATTACATATGACTATGACAAATGACTATTTATCATTTAAATGACATATAAAATTAAAATTAGAAACTTGAAAGAAAAAAGTAAATTTTGCCATTATATTTCCAATATATTTCGCAAAAAAGTGTTGAGTATCTAAACTTTTTGTCTGTAAACTGTGACAAACACTTTCATGTTACTTTAGTCTCTCTGCTCAAATGATAGAAACCAGCTTAATAGTTATGCATTTATTACTCAATGAAATGGATCAAATTGAATATTTTTTGTATTATTGAAATAAGACATGTTTAAAATGCAAGAAGCAAAAATAATTTGTATTTTTATATTACATTTGTAGTTGGTTGGATGGAAACCAAATGAATATTTTGCCTGAATACATTTTTGAAAATTTAAGAATTCTTCAAGTGCTGTAAGTTATTTCCATCAATCGTAAATTGAAAAAATACATTTAACGTCAAATAAAACGAGTTAATTTTTATTTATCTGTTTTATAGATCTCTGTCAAGAAACGAATTGACAACCATAAATTCCAACACGTTCTGGGGTTTGGAGAATTTAAAAAGCTTGTAAGTTTTATAGAACTAGCTTCGTGTAATAATAATTTTGTAACATTGAGGGTTAACACTGACAGGGTTAGCTTATATTTTTCATCAAGTTTCAAAGCATTGTTTATTTATAAGTATTTGACGTTCAAAGACGAGTGTTACGTGGAAAAATACATACATTCTCCAAATTTCTGTTAAATACTACAAATGTTCAATGTGTGCTTTCTTGGTCACTCAATGGTAATCCAGTTCCACCCATTCCTCCAATAGACATATACTTTAAATAAACAGTCCTTTCAAACTGGGTTAATAATTTAAGCCTAGTATTTGGCCAATATGGATAGAGAAAAGCAAATATGAGATATAAATCCTAATTGCACTTTCGCACAAAATTTTAAAAAAATCGGTGGATTGTAAGAAATTTCGAATCAAAGAGAGTGCTTAATGACTTTGGTTTATTTTTATATTCGGTTTCCCCATTTGGATTTATGTTTGATACGATGTGTGGTCATTTTTGAAAAATTTTTGCAACAATAAAATTTTGATAAATGAATTCCGACCATAAATTTTGTGATTTAAAAAACTGATTCTGGAAAGGCAATATTTGATGTACTTATTTAAGCAAGGCTGAATTGTTTTCTATATTAAGATGTTATCATTCACAGCACAATGTACTCAGGAGCAGTTCACCATCTCAATTCAAGAATATTTTTCAAGGTCATATCATGGAAACTGAGAATTTGTCAAAACACTGCAATATTGTTTGTTTTTAGAGCAACTATCTAAACACAATCAGAGCTGGCATCAAATAGAATGAAATGATCGAATGCGAAAAGAAATTTCAGTTCCAAAAAAAAAATCACGCTTTGTTTGTAACTACTCATCCTGCTATCTTAATTTGCTTAATTTGAGTTTCTCGCTGTGGTAACAAGGGAAATGACGCCATAAAATGACACCTTAAAGTTTGGATTTTTTTTTTTGTTGAGATTATAAAACGTTGGAACTAACACTTACCAAAAACTTGCCAATAAATGAACCAAGTTGATTTTTCGTCCGATTTCCCACTATAAGTTGAAAGGATTTACATGTTCGTTCCTAATTAAATGTTCATAATTACTACTATTCGTATCAATAAGGATCAGTATCGTTCGTTGACTCTCCTTTTAATATTATTATAAACAATATTAAAATAAAGCAGTATTATATCAGTTAAGACATATTAAGCAATAATTTATCTAGGCGGAACATTACATATTATACTATATTCAACCCTTTAAGAATAGGTTTGCCGTAAGCATAGTTAAAGACATTTTATTTTCTATTTCTTGCACTGAATGCCACTATTCGTTTCATTTGCTTGTCATTGATATTCTTAACAATGCATCTAGAACAGTGTATTCGTTTCCTGTCTGTATATTGATTATATGTATTATTCATAGGGCCATTTCAATGAATCGCCTACATTACCTGAAAGCCAATACTTTCGGTAATCTTACCTCATTGCTCAAACTGTAAGTTGAGTTCTCTTCATAAATTACCATAATTTTCTTTCTTTACAGTTTTGTACGAGATGCGCTGAATTTATCTGTAGGAAATATTCAAACATCATCGCTTGTATTCTAAATAACAATAATAAATATCAATAATAATAGCAAAATTATCATTTTCATTATAAAATTTTGAAGGCGCTCTGAAATAATTATAAATTTTATCGTCCCATATTCCTAAAATACGTCCTCAGTAATTGCTTACGCTAACGAATAATTTACAAGAAGCTATTTTTTTTCAAACCGCTGATTTTTTAACATTCTTTTAAACAAATAAAAATGTTATTAATTGTTCTTTTCGTTTTTAAAACTGAATTTTACAATAAATGAAAAGCTGATTATATTTAGTATTACTTCTAAAGATTAAAAAATTGTTTTCTCTTGTTAAGAAACTTGAACCATGATGAATTTGAACAGTTAAGGTACGGATCTGTCATTGTTAAGGACTAGGCTTCGATCCCTAGTGGTGGTTAGAAACCAACCCATTGATCGACGTTTGAATCGAGCGATTTTTCTAAGATACACATTTGGGACTTTGTCCATGTTCTTAACATGCTTTTTTAACATTGTACATTACGTTAATTATGCATTAAGTTTATTTTCTTAAAGATTCAATTTGAGATTTTTCCAAAATAAAAAGTTCACCTAAGAATTTCTTTCAGTCTTATTAAACTACGTAATAGATAGCATTTTCTTATAGGTGGAATTGCTGAACTATGTTCGCCTATTCTACATTGACAGTTTTTTTTAAAATTTGCTCTCAGCGGTTCAATAACACCTTTTAAAGCATGATCTTACTTTTATTATTGTAGTTTAAACGAATATTTCATAAAAATAATTAAGAAATGGAACTTCAAGGAAAAATTTTAAAACTTCAGATATTAAAGACTTTCTTGTTTAGAAAAAAATTTCATGAAATTGAGAAAAAACAAGAGAGATTCAAAAATAAGAGAATAGTTTTAATTTGGACACTAATTGCATTAAAGGTAATTTAGGAAAGCAGTGTTATACTTTACTTTTTATATAATATTATTTCTACATATTGTGTTAAGTTTATAACTAAAATCTGTTTGCTTACAGTTATAAAACTTGTTTACATAAAATCAATTGATGGAAAATATGTACTATTTATGTTTAATTTAATAATCATTGAATGGTTTGTATTATAACTTCTAGAAACTTAACTTCTGTAAATTCATTAAGTTTATGTGCCGCATGCAAATTTTGAAAGAATTAGGTTGGTTAGTAAAGAGAAAGAAAAGTATAAATTTATCATATTTTTTAAAAGTAATTTAAATTATTATTTTTGAAAACAGGGAAGGTTGTGCCACTTGCAAGTTGAATCAGAGATCCTTAACCATTGTAAAATATAAATAATATTCATTTTCGTAATTTTTTAAAATTTATTGTTCTTATTGTGCAAATAAAACAAATAGCTAATGAAAGTTCTGGACAGGCTTATGTAAGAGGGTGTATCAAATAAAAATGAGACTTTTTCTAAATATTAAAGTAAACTAATATTAACTAAATATTAAAGTATTGTTTTAAAAAAAAAAGATTTTTATTTTTCTACATGATTTCGGTGAACTTCTACACACTTTTTCCAACGTTTTTGGAAGTTTTTTTTTATTCTAGTGGCATAGAAAGAAGTAGGCCTTGTAGTGAACCGATTGCGAACAGAATCTTCTACCTCTTCATTTGGGGAAAATATCTCTCCACCCCCCAAGGCTTCTTTAAGGGATCCAAATAAATGGTTGTCCGTAGGTACCAATCCCAGTATGGAGGGTATTTAACTTATTAGTAGTGTACTGCCTGTAATTTTTGCAGTGTTACTTCGGCTTTATGTCGTGTCTCATTGCACTGTTGCAAGATCATTTTGCTGATCTACATGCCACATCTCTTGAACTATTAGATTGCATTGACTTTTCACACACAATACAAGTTCACAATAAAAATTTGCACTAATTGCTCATCGTTCATGAAGGGAATCAATTTACACACAACACCTTGTGAGCCCTAAATGATTTGGGAGTACCTTTTCAGCTATTATTATTTGATTATTGTGCGTTGTGCAACAGCATTAGGAATGTTACCCTCACTCATCATTCAAGTTACTAAAAACGGATCTTACAAAGAACAAAACACTGCTAAACTCTAGATAAAATTCTATTAATACCATAGAAATAAGAATAAAAATCGCCTGCGGCTATTAAAATAGTTTCGTTTATATTTGATCCACCTACGTAATTTATCTATTATTCATTACTGTTTATTTGGCGAATTTCAAAGTTGACTGCATCAAGACATTTATAAAAAAAAACTAAGATAGCTTTCAAATTTAATCAAAGCAGTTAAGACAAAAACTGCTGAAATAGGAATTTTTTTTCGTATCGTATTTTTCTAGTTTTGCTTAACTTTTCTTTGTTAGTTAGTGCAGGAATTCATATGGCTAAAAAACTAACGTTCTAAATATTTTTATTTCAGAGATATCCATGGAAACGGGATTCGTGACATCGATAAGAGAGCATTTTCATCTCTAGCTAAGTTGGAATCACTGTAAGGTCAAAAAAATTATATTTCTTTTCTAAAAACTTCGCTGTTTCGAGCCAAATGATCCAGTTCGTAAATATATCGAATTTTACCACTGGAATTTTTGTGACGTCGATAAAAAATTTTTTTTCGATATCAGCTAAGTTCGAATCACTGTAATGTAAAAGAAAAATTCTATTTATTTTATTACAATTTGACTATTACGTGTCAAATAATCCAATTCGTATCAATATTTAATTTTACCACATTATTTTCGCGATACTGATTAAATGGAATATTCTACTCTTGATAGGTTATAATAATAGTAAGGTAAAAAAATTATATTTCTTTATTCAAATTTGCTAACGGAAAAGAACCAATTAGTATTTGTAAATGCAGTTGACACTTATCTTTCTTTTTATTTTTTTCACCGGAGTACATATATTCCTGACCAAAGTAATTATTGATGCAGTAAGTAATTAAAAAGGCTATTTTAAATTCAATATTATTCATTAGTGTAAGAATGACGAAAAAAATATAATAAACATGTAATAATGTTTCGTTTTATTATTTAAATGTTAGATAGATAATAATAATTGCTAAACTATTTACTGCTGCTGTTAGCAATTAGAAAGTCTGTTTTAAATACAATATTATTCATTAGCGTAAGAATGAAGAAAAAGTACAGAAAACATATAATAAGGTTTCCATTTTATTATATAATTGTTAGTAATATTCTCTAGACTATTTATTGCTGCTGTAAGTAATTAAAAAGTCTTAAAAAACAATATCGTTCATTAGCGTATTAAAAAATGTAATAAACATAAAATAAATTTTCCGTTTCATTATCTAATTATTATGTAGTTATTAATATTTGCAAAATTAATATGCTTTTTTAAGAACAGGCATACTTAAATGACATTAAATATACATTATTATAGCATTTGGTACATTACTTCAGGTATTATCAAATAAATTCACAGTTTCCACTGAGAAAGGATGACTTGTTATTAATTTCAGTCATTTTTCGTATAGAGCTAAGAAACGGATCTGAATTCAACAAAAACTCGTTTCTAAAACATCTTCATTGCAAATTTCCCTCGATAACTTTCTTTCAAAATGTAATCTGTTAGAACTCAGGGTGCCAGTACTTTTTACCGTAAAATGCATTTTTACTTTAAAATTTAGCGAAAAAAAATATTACATTCCCTAATTTTTTTATAATAATATTTACTGTAAAATCCCAGAATCACTATAATTAAATAAATTTCACTGCCAAGAAAATCGTATACAAATTTACGGTAAAAAAAGATTTTACAGATGTTGCACTCAATGTGGCAGTACTTTTTATCGCAATTTGATCTGGAATTTTTTACAGTATAGGACGAAAATTTTTTGCCGAATCAATTCCATTTGCGTCGCGGTGGCTCAGGGGATAGTGCGTATACCTCCCAATGAGGTGACCCAGATTCGAATCCCTGCGGTGGCTGGTTGATACGAATTCTGTTCCCTGCTCGCATTCACCACAGTGCTGGCTTAAAATGTTCTCAGTGGTTGATGGTTCATAGTTTAGAATCTCTTTGCCATTAAACTCAATTTGAATAAACTCAATTTGAATAAACTTATATCATCGCCACAAATATAAAAGATAGTCGAACAAACAGTCATCGAAATGGTTAATAAAACTTCAAATTTAGAGAAAGCGCTTTATTAAGCAGTGAATTTTTAAAAATGTAGTGTATAGGTATTTGAATGCAAAAAGATATTATGCTTTACGTCTTGGTGTGTATATTAAGAAACTAGAAATTTCTAATCATATACTATTTTTGAATTTTACAGAAATCTTAAGAAAAATCCTTTAAAAGGATTGCAACAAGGCACATTTAATGATCTTTTGCAATTGAAGCACATGTAAGTTTTATTTTTTACATGTTTGAACATCTACTATTAATTATAAAAAAGATTATTGCTTAATTAACTTTAAAATAAAACAATATAAAATTGTGTTAATATTTTAACTAATTTATTATGTATCTAAAAACTAAAAACATTTCTTCCTTTCGGTATAAATTATACGATATTATGCAGATACGAGTTTCGCATGAATACAAATCAGTAGAATTTTTTTTTGACAAACAGGTTAACTTAAAGCTTATTCTTAAGTCATATCCTTTTTTAACAAGATGAAAACATTTAAAATGAAATAACTTTTTTTTCTTAGGTTATAAAATGCAACGTTATAGAACAGTAAAATATCTAAAGTCTGTAAATTATAATCCCTTTTTTAGAAATTCAATAACTTAGCAAATGCAAAAAAAATGTACTAAACTAATGTCTATTTTTTAAAAACTTTAGTAAGTACTTAAAAACAAAATAAATATTTTTCAAACATGATAAATTTCTTAAATGTTTCAACTGTTTAACATTAAAATTTACCTACATATTTTCTTAAAATTTACTTCAGTTAGATAAATTTATCAACTATTAAGAAATATTCCAATGAAAATTTTTGTGTAGAAACAAATCCTAAATTATAAGATTTTGTTCTGAAAATTTGTGAGTTTAAAAAGGAAAGAAAACTCAAAATTTCTGTCGCTGACGTCATGGAAACATGGAGTTAGTAATCAACAAATATTTTATGAAAGACTTGGAAAGATAAAACATAAAACACATGGAAGATAAAACATATATACAGCAAGTATAAATCTTAGTTCCTAAGCTATGCTAGAAAAAGTAATTAAGTTTCAAAAAGTAATCAGGTTCAATAGTAAACAATCTGTGAAATTATTTCCTTCAATATAACAAAACGCTACTTAGACTTTTTCTGAATTTAGTAAAAAACTAATTCCTATAATATGTAACATTTTAAAGTTTTGCATACTTTATCAGAAAATCTAACAAAATCCGTGTTTACTATTGATAGAAAAGTGAAATAAAAAGGGTTAATGCAAAGAGTTTTCTTAAGATTTTTAATTAATATATCATATTAAAAATATTTTTATGCATTTTTAATAAAAAATATCTTTATAGATATTGTTATTTAAAATAATATAATATATGCTAACTTTAATTAAGTTTGCTCTGGGCTAAACAAAGTCTAAACATACGTTGAAGTAGTCCAATATCTAAAATAATTAATTCAAACACTTACTAGTTATTTTCTTAAAAAAAAATCTGTAAAAGTTTTCGCTTTATTTTTTTATTTACGAATGAAATTGTTTTTTGCCTTCTGTAAAGATATTTTTCGTATGGTAATTTTTATTTTTGCGATATAAAATTAAAAAATAAACATATTTCAAAAAATGAAAATAATATTCTTTTATAAGAATGGATATTAATTGGTTTATTTTTTTACGTTACGTTTATTTTTTAATTATTCTCATTTCATCTTTAGCTGAACATATAAAATATTTTACATTAAAAATTTTATTTTTTTATTTAAATTTTGTTAAGATAGCTTTCTTTGAAATAGAAATGCAATCGAAAAAAGTAAAGTTTATGAAGATTTAATTTACTTTTGCACAAAAACCTATTTTATTTATACTTAATAATAAAAATTTTCAACAGTTTAATGGATAAAAATTACATTTGATTTAAGAAAATAATTGAAAAAATGACATTTGTTCATGATTCTATTCAATATTTAACAGGGAGAGTTTCTTGAAAAGTTTGTGGCCTTCAAATTGCATTTTAAAATAAAAACTAATTATGCGTAAAGGAAAATAATTATTTTGTTAATTGAATAATTATTTTGTAAATGAAATAATATTTATTTTACTCTCAAGACTAACTTACATTTAAAGTATTATTTTTTATTATGTATTTATCGACTGAAAAGTTTTTATAGATGGATCGTTTGGGAAAAATATTAAAAATTTAAATCACTCTACGTGAAATAATTATCAGAGATTAAATACTGTCATTTTTAATTAGTTGACTCAAATTAAAATCTGGGGATTAGAAGAAATAATAAAGTAATTATTTGAATCCCATTTCATCCTTAATTGAAGAGATTTATTTATTCAATATTGCTTTGAATCAATCGATTCGAATCATTCAACTCAATCAAATAAGAATCAAATCTATTTATTTTAACAACTTGATTATATTCAGACCATCGGTTATAGCATTATAAATGATTACCTTTTTTTGAATAATTTAGATGATTCATTGAATAATGCAAAACTGACGTGAAATGCATGAATATTTGTTAAGACTTCTTACGACGCCATACTCAGAAAAATAAATCTGAAAGAACGAGCTTTCCTTCATCAGGTAGAAGAATGGATGGTAGAAAAATGAATGTGAGAAAATTGAAGGGAAGTGAGAAATAAAGAATATTTTCATTTTATTTCTCTTTTATGCTCCAATCTTCTCGATTTCCTTCTTTCCTCAAATAATTTTTGCACATTTTTTTGTTGTTTTTTTATTGGCTCGTCTTTTATTCTCCCCTGCATATATTCAATTGCTCCCTCCCCATTCATTTTTCTAACACCAATTTTCTCTCACCATAATTTTTAATTACCTGATGAAGGAAAGTTCGTCCTGCACCAGACAAATATGGTGTCGTAATATCAGCTCTGTGTAGGATCATAAGAATTCTTAAAAAAATTTCGTTTGATCACATATCTTGCCAATTTATAATGTTAAATGTATGAAGTTCTTTTGAGATATTAAGCAATAGTAATTTTTCTAAATACTTTTCTTTATGTTTAGATATTTCGATGAATTTTATCTATGTTCTTTGGCACTGCACGTACGCGTATGTGAGCCCAGAGGAGACGGTATCAGTAGCATAGCTCACTTGTTGGACAGCGTAGTACTGCGAGTCAGTGTATGGCTTGTGGCATTCGTTGCTGGTTTGGGCAACGTTGCTGTACTTATCGGAAGATTCTTATTTGCTGAACCTAACGAAGTTCATTCGTTTTACATCAAAAACTTATCTTTGGCTGATCTCTTGATGTCAGTCTACTTATTCGTCATAGCTGCTTATGACGTCCTCTTCAGAGGAGAATACATTCTTCATGAAGCAAAATGGAGGCACAGTTGGCAATGTAATGTAGCCGGATTTTTATCTACACTTAGCAGCGAGTCATCTGTGCTGATACTTACAATAATTACTATTGACAGGTAAATTATATCAAATAGTATTTAACATGAAAGTAATTCTTTAAAAAGATTTATTGTTTTGATACGACTATTTTATTTTGATTGTATTGAAATTTGTGCATAGTAATTTGAGTATAACTTTAAAAACATTACAATATTTGAATGAAATTGTAAAAAAAAATATATATATATTTTTATTCAAATGATTTATTTACATACAATGACAATTATTAATTTTAATTTTAACAATTAAGTATTAATGACAATTTTTAATTCTTTTATTAGTTCGATTGAAGTTGGAATCAGGTATTCATTTAGAAGATAATATTTTTTCAAGCCTGAATGGCATTTAAATATTTGTTCATTAAATAAAAAAAGCTATTACTTAAAAACTGAAAGTGTATCCCAGATTTCGTCAAACTTAAGGGGTAAAATATTAAGGGAAAAATATATCGAAGGCAGGTAATGAAAAAATAATACACTTATTCATGACAGCACTTAGAACATGAGAGAGTTGAATATAAAAGCGATTAACACCGAAGTCTGAAATTGTACTAATTAATTAATTAGAGAGGCTTACTTTCTGGTTAACTCAAACATATCATATATATATATATATATATATATATATATATATAACA